TAGGTGCTTCATAACCATAAACAAACAACAAACAACTTTCAACTTTTACCGCCAAGCGATAGAGATGAGGTAACCAAAAAAAAATAAGGAAAATATCGATATTGCAAAATGCAACCATCGATAGTCGTAGGTTTTTCGAATGAGCTTGAAAATTGAAAGCATGATAGCGCTTTCGAATTTTGCCTCAAAACTGCACCCAATGGATCAAAAAGCGATCCGAAAAGAATTTACATGTTCGGATTAAAACGGAGCATTGCTCTCGGCACGAATCGGCGTTCACTTGTTCCTATTAAAAGCTCTTGAATAGCAGCTCTTAGCAGATCTTTCTGATTTTTCGAGCAAGTATAGCAAGTCAAATGAGCACCTGGAGTTTGATCGAGTACGTTCGGCTATTAATTTCAAACAGGGACACGGACCGAAATGAAATATCGATTCCGATCCACAGCGTAATGACAAATATCGGTCTACCTACTTATAATCAATTTTATTGGACAATCCGTGCGTTCGGTATTTTGATCTGAGTTCTCCGAGCATAAATTTACCGTTCTTTATTCAAAAAGTGTACTCGGTGCAGGCTCTTTCACGTTCGTTTATGAAAATATCGAGCGTTTAACTGCTCTGTGCGCTCGCTGATCACTTGAGTCTGGCCCCGCTCTGCACGTTCTGTTCTTTGAGGAAAATACCGAACGCAAGAGTCCTTTTCACGTGGCTCTGGTTCAAACTAACTAACCGGGTGAAAAAACGGTTAGTAGCGGTATGTCAAGTGATGACATCATTGAAAATGCCACCTGAAAACGAAAGGTTAGAAAAATGTTATTTTAAATCAGGAAATCCAATGACCTGTCAGTATTTATGATAGGTGGATGTAGCCAGTAACTGCACCGAAATTTCACGTATATCTTGAAAAAGGATGACCATATTATGTATTTTAACTTTAATTTCTTCCATGTTCGTCAATTGATTAGGTAGGTAGAAACTTTAAAATAATATGAATAAAATACATCTTGATATTTAAGTTCACACCTGTCACAATTTTCCCGCTTTCCGATCTTTACAAATTTACATTTTTTTTTTTTGTTCTAACCGTTAAACGTAACCATATCGCCGAGCTGGTTAGAGAAATGACAAACCGTTTCCTAACCCGCTTACAAAGTGACGTCATCGATACCACTCGAATTTGAACGGTATGTTGCGGTTTGTTAAACCGGAGCCACGTGAAAAGAGCTAAGGAATTTATAGTCGAATTTAACGAAAATCGTTTGGTGGTCACGAATTTACTAAATTTTACGTTTGGTGGTCAATAATACTGGAGATATGAACTAACTAGGATTTACATTATACAATAATTTCAATTCGTCGCCCATGGGCAGATATATACTAGGACGCGTCATCTCGCGGTCTCCGCTTATACTTGGAATAATATATTGTACTAAAACCAAATATTTATGCATAAAGCATCAGCGCGATCATAACCTGTGGTGCAAACAGCCCAAGGATGATACACACTACTACTACAAGATAGCCTATCCTCATAAGGCCTGTGTGGAACAAATCCCCCCAACAATGCCAAATCACCAGTTGTGACGTAGAAGCATGTAATTTCTCGCTTTGACGTAGACTGTTTAGATAGCTGACAACTTAAGCCGCTTTCCAGCTAACGCTTTTGAGCACGCAATCGAGCTTTTGCGCGCGCAAATGCTTCAAGCGCGTGTTCGTGTTCCAGCCGTACTGCGCTTCGAGAGCTGATTACTTTTGCGTTTCAAACACAGAACACTGTGCTGCACCGTGCTTGAAGCACACAGCTGGAAAGCGGCTTTAGTTGTGACGTCGGAAATGGTAACACACCAATATGACGGCGATTACCAAAACTGAGGCCGATTAGCAATCCTTAGTAGTAGTAGTGTGTATCATCCTTGTAAGCAGCCTACGTCAAGGCAAGAAACAAGAAACGACACGCTGGCTACGTCATCACTGGTACTTCGACTTGGTAGAGGGATTGCAAGGATGATACACACCACTACTACAGGATGGCCTATCCTCATAAGGTTTGTGTGTAACAAATCCCCCCTTTCTCCCCCACGTAAATACCAGTTGTGACGTAGGCAGTATGTTATTGCTCGCCTTGCCGTGGGCTGTTTAAACAGCTAACGACTTAGTTATGACGTCGGAAATGGTGGCACCGCACCATTGGAAACAGTCAGAAAACTAGTTCCAACCAATGAAATTCACTCTAATTAAATAGACCTTTCAAATACTTTGTTTGTCCCCCCAACGAAAGTGAGGTTATGTGTGTGACGTCAGTAGGTATGTCGGTGCAAGGATGATACACACTACTACTACAGAATGGCCTTTCCTCATAAGGCCTTGTAACAAATCTCCCCTTCCCCCCAAACCAAAATACCAGTTGTGACGTAGGCATCATGTCATTTCTCGCCTTGACGTAGGCTATTTAAACACAGCCTACTTTTCAGTATGGGAGTGTGACGCTCGGAGCTACTCGAAGCGTTGAGCTCCCGAGCTGTACGTACGCGTCAATCTGTCAGCTGTCACATCCGTGGGTGGCTATTTATTTATCTATGTCTCGGGATCGAACATTTCCAAAATATAGTTTTGATTCTCTTCCATTTTTGATAATTAAAAAAACAAACCGCATAAACCTGCTCTAAGGCATAACAGATAATTATTTTTAAATTTTGACATATTTGACATTAGACAGGCGTCTCACGCCATTATACTGGAACGGTACAAATCTAGTGCGTGGCGCCCCCGAGGTGCTCTAGAGCGCGCCAATGTGCATACTGGAAAAGCACAGCTGACGAATTGGTTATGACGTCGGAAATGGTATCACTATCACACGAATATATGGCGGCAATTACAAAATACGAGGCCGATAAGCACTCCTTAGAGTGTATTCTCCTTGATGTCGGCTGACGTAATAATATAAAGTAATTACCACCAAATGATAAAAATAAAAGTGAGATACCAAATACCACCAAAGAACCACCAAACGATTGCATTTGGCGAATATTAATAAAAAAAACATTTGGTCGGCTAAATACATGTTGCCCAATTAATCACCCTAAAGTACTAGTGATGACGTAGGCAGCTTGTCGTTTCTCGCCTTGAGCCAGGGTGTTTGCACCACAGGTTATGATTCCACGGGCTTTTGGTTTATGCATAATTGGTTTTTAGTACATTAATTAACATTCTAAAATAAAACTTTCTTAGATCTCGTTTGTATCTTTGTCAAAATTAAATAATATTCTTCCTTTGCCATACATTTATATTCAAAACTACAACCGCTGGCGTCGTCAGTCAATGGTGCTTGCTATACAATATGGCCGCGATTTCCAAAAACGAGGCCGATAAGCAATCTTGTGTAGTAGTGTGTGTGTGTGTGTATTATCATTGAAGTGCTTGAACCAAATGGTGTGATTGCGCTGATTTTTGATTTATGCATATCTGGTTCTAGTACAAAATTTAATATTCTAAAACAACCGTTGTTTAGATCTCGTTCGCATCTTCCTCTTGTCTATTGTTAATCAAAATTAAATAATATTTTTCATCATAAGTGTATATTCTTAACTACGACCGCTGGCGCAAACCGCCAACAACACCGTTGATGACGTCGCCAACAGTGCAGCATCATATGAACTTGATTTCAAAAATCGAGGCCGATGAGCAATCCTGTAGTAGTGTGGTGTAGCCTAGCCGAGTTCAGAAATGCGCGTTTTTAAACGCTCTGGTTTTTGGGGCGGGTATTATAAAACTAATTCGACATTGATTTCGAGAGATAACTTGAAAGTTGACTTTTAGAATGACAATCAGGCCTATGATGTATCCTCTCCTGTTATTTTAACAGCTGTGTTATAGCTCTACAGCATACCTGTCTCTATTTTGATGTATAGAATAAACAGTGACAGATAACTTAACGTTGCTGTTAAAATAACAGAAAATGATACATCATAGGCCTGATTATTTCCCATACCGAAGTAAATTTTTTGTTTCATTGGTTTTATAATACCCGCCATTAGAGTGTAAAAATTTATTAGGATCTGACTGGATATGACCAAACAGCTAACAGCCTAATTTATAAAATCTTGAAACCAAAAAATACCGGTAAAAACCGATTAATTTATATCGGTTCTGGTTCTGCCTGCCTTAAAACATTTCTATGAGATATGGGTTTCATTCCGGTTCCGGTCCGCAAAAAAAAAACGTTCCGGTTCTCGGTTCAAAATCGTGCCGGTCCAGGTCCCTGTTTTCTCGAGCTGAAATACAGTGCAAAACTAGTAGTCCAGGAGGTGGCGCCAAAAACATGCAAGAGTTTTCGCAAGGCGGATATTTTCAAAATAGGTCGTACTTTAGTGCTAGAATGCTAGTGTACAGTCAGCACTCACAGTTCCGGGACAGCTGTCTCTGGGACGCGGGCAAAGTTGTAATTTTAAGAAGCATCTAAACTGTTTTCTCAAAGCTCAAAATTTATAGAAATTTTGCACATTATCTGTTTGAAGGTCACAGATAACGTATGTAAATCGTCAGACGTCTAGTTCCTTGCAAAAAGGGGGTCAGACGTCCTCAAAGTTTTTATTTTATGGCATTTTCTTCGGTGTCCTGTCAAAATATATTTTTGCAGGTATTTGACAAATATATTTGAAGAAAATGCCATAAAATAAAAACTTTGAGGACGTCTGACCCCCTTCTTGCAACGAACTAGACGTCTCACGATTTACATACGTTATCTGTGACCTTCAAGCAGATAATGTGCAAAATTTCTATAAATTTTGAGCTTTGAGAAAACAGTTTAGATGCTTCTTAAAATTACAACTTTGCCCGCGTCCCAGAGCCAGCTGTCCCGGAACTGTGAGTGCTGACTGTACACTAGCATTCTAACACTAAAGTACGACCTATTTTGAAAATATCCGCCTTGCGAAAACTCTTGCATGTTTTTGACGCCAGCTCCCCAACTATAGTTTTACCAATCGAAAACACTATTAATCCGTGTTTCCGTTTGATTGAATGTCAAAGTCAAATGTCATATTGTCATATGGTTTTGCGGTTTTTTGGTGTTGTGATTTTAAAATGTCCGTTACAATTTTCTTCTTTATTCATTGAAATCAACATTTTATTTTATTTAATTTTGTTGTATAATAGCGGTTATTATCACAGTTAGAACAAAATCTTCCATATAGCCACGTGCGAGTTATTATTTTTTGGAAAGATTGGTAAGTTTTCAGTCAATCTCACTATCTAGCTAGAAAAAAAATAGTGCATGTATTGTACAATAGGATAGTTTTAAATAATTTAATTTTGAATAAAAAGGAGGAGCAGAGCAGTGCAAGAAAACGCTAAAGCATCAAATTGCATTTCAAGTAGCTCAGGCTGTAAATTACAACCTCAAATCAAGTCGAAATATCGAAGTCTTTTGTCATATTGTATTGATAAGACTTAAATTCTATTGAAAATTACTCAAAATAACGATTGGAATTAATAATGCCAGACCTGATATTCTTGACCATTCAAAATAATGCATATTCCTAAGGTATATAGAAAAATGTTCATTACATTCTTCTCCACCTAATTTTTAAACCTATACGAGCAAGTCAGATATTGAACAAGTTCCCCCTTTTTTCCAAACTTGGGTGTATTGTCAGGCAACTTACAACTTCACACACCTGTCAGGAGCTTACTCAGACATTTTATTTGTTAGGAAAATCTAATGGTCCCGTACTAGAACTCTCCATTCCAGGTCCACAAAATGAATCCTTCAGCGGACGAATTCTTCCAAACACCCAAACTAGTCAAATCCACTGGCCTAACTACCTCAACTGTTGTGAAAGAAAAGAAAAAGCTCGAATTTCTGGAACCATATCCAGTTGTAAATCAAGATACCTCTTTGGGCATTTTGTCATTGAGCAATGTAAATATATCAAACATTTTCAATCAGACCGCAACAAAAAAACTTAACGCCGATGACATGTTGAAACAGCAAAGGCATCTGGCCAATAACACTTTAGATAGAGCTTCAAGAGTTTCGTTGCAACAAGGCAATTTTTTATTGGCCAGTTCCAATTCAGAAAGTACCATTAGCGAAAGTGATGTTTTGCTGCAAACGCCTAGAAGTAATGGTAAGCTTAGCGGGGATTTGGTGCCTCAAAATACTTCAACTCCTCGCAGTTCGGATGTTGCCGCTTCGACTACAGGAAGGGAATCAATTTTTTCCAAGTTTATTGATATGCTCGACACTGATATGAGTACTCATAATGCTTTTGAGGAATTTAAACAGATTGTTGAAGGTGAAGAAAAAATAAGATAATGTTTAATGCTATAGTCTGTTCATAAAGTCTATAGACTTTTTCGAGTGTGTGATTAGAGATTTTGGACGCTGATTGGCTAGATTTTGGGGCCTTGGGTTAATCGTTTAAATTGAGCACTGGTTGCCAAAGTCGACCACCTAATTTTGGCCAATCAGCTTCCAAATCTCAGATCACATAGCCGAAAAAGTTTATAGACTTTATGAACAGACTTTACCAACATTTTTGAAAATATGAAGTAAGTTGTTATAATTTGTCTTTTCCTTTTTTTAGTTTGACATATTTTGCTAATACTGTAGAAATGTTATTCTTTAAATTTTTTCCAAAACTTCTCCCCGTTTGTCCTAACACCGTTCTTATTTTTGACTTGATATTTTTGAAATGTTTACCTATGGAATTGGTAGTTTTGAAAGATGCCTACGTTTTTCATGTTATTATTATAAGAAACTCATGGATTTTGTCACTATATTAATTGCTTTTTTGTATTTTGTTTCTAAAGGAGAGTTATTATTAATAGATATTTGTTTTATAATTTTATTCAATGATTCTAGGAAAAATCATAGTTTTCATTAAGAGCAAGTTTCATGTTTAATAGGGTGGCAAGGCAAGAGGGTGTTATGTATAGTTATTCATATTTGTCACTTTATTTAGTTAAGGGCGAAATTATGGACCAACTAGTAATGGTCCTGGTTATTACCAAGCAGGTAAATTCTATTTCCAAAGTATAGAATTCACCTGCTTGGTAACAACCAGGACCTTTACCAGTTAGTCCATAATTTGGCCCTAATAGTTAATTCTAAGAAATTGGAGTTGTCTATTCTTTTTTCTTATATGGCTAGCTGCTTGTCTGTCCCTGTGAAGCAGGTAAGAATGTCATCAACATATCTATGCCAACATGCCTAAGTACTGGCGAGTTGAAGTCAACATACATGAAGACTCCCTAGATGCTGACGTTACTCGAGGAGGCCCCAAAGGCGGCCTATATTATTTGACAATAAAGCATGTTTACACCTACTACTACTACTACTACTACTACTACTACTATTACTACTACTACTACTACTACTATAGTATTTGTAATACCCATTTAGAATAACCTCATCCTTGTTTATCAATCACGAATTAGATGAAACAAAAAATTACCAACAAAAACGAACGTCGATTGCTAATACGTCAATAGGGCAATCCAAACAAAATGGCAGTCAATGCCAAAAAATTGGCGCCATTAATTTAATTCAAACAACCGCGACATTTTTCATTAAAAAATTGTTTTTTGAATATTTTGTGGTGTTTTAAGATGATTTTCTAGTGCTTGGAAGGAGAATTGTCGTATTTTAAGATGGAGAGTTTTTAGTTTAAGAAATTATTAGTGGAAAACCCGGATGTTTGCAAAAGTTATGATTTCTTTGTGACAAGCCTTTACCTACTAAACAATTAGGTAGGTACTATCCAGGATTTGTTTCCTGTTTTGGGTTTTTTTCCTAACCAAATCCTGAATCCTGATGTTTATTTTATTTGTCTGCTATTCAAGGTATCGACACAAGCTGATGTGGAGGTGAATGGATGGATCCAAGCCATTGGATCCATCCATACACCGTTCACCGTTTATGTAGAGAGACTTTTTGGTTTTTTAATATGGATTTCGTCAGATTTTTTCTCTTTCGCTACAATCCATAAAGCCCTTACAAAGTACAGATAAATCGTTTTTCTCCGTTAAAAACCTGTGTTTTGTCTCTGGAGAAACGGCATGAAACGAGACTTTCTCGCGATTAGAACGGCTTCCACAACTAAGTACAATACATAACGTATGCATTTTCCATAAAATCAACACTTTATAGACTTTATACAAATCAAAAATCGCAATAAAACGGCATTTTTTTTAAATAAAAAGTCATTGGCCTCCATTTTGAATTTGATTTTGACAGGTCGTTGGATTGCCATATTTCATCTACAAATAGAAAATTCCTACACATACGTTTTGTCACTAAAACGACAGGTACTTCTAAATAGGTATTAAAAATACTATACTATTACTACTACTATGTTTAATTTATTTGTTTTCACTAAGGGCTGCTTTATTCACCTTCTGAAAAACTGTTAGTTATGTATCTGATGGATAAAAACGCAATCTGTAATCCCATAAGTCGGCAATAGAATTATAAAACTATAAATACAAGCTATAACAACTTACTTTGTCTTTTATAAAAAATGGATTTCCACCATGTAAAGGCTTCTGTTCAAATTTTCCTTTTAGCTAATAAAAACGATAGCAGCCTTTTTATACCAGCAGAACAATCAGCTGCAAAACTCTTACTAGCTGACGAATTATCATACAACAGAAAACAACTACCAATTGAAGAAAACTTCACCTCGTTCCAATCGTCCAAAGATATTCCCTCAATGTCGATGAGCGAATTTTTCATGAAGGGCTCCGATTTACCCGAGCTCCAAGCAAAAAATCCTCCAATAGCTGTTCCAGAACCACTTGTAGAAACAACCGCCTTTTCAACGACCCTCCCATCAAATAAAAGCTTGAGCATTAGCACTATACAGCATCTTATCGCCGCAGAATCACCAAATAAATTCATGGACTACATAGCTAAACCACATAAACAAACAAACGATTTTAGGGAGTCCAGTGATATTTTCAGTTTGCCTGTTAGTCAGAACACTTCATACACCAGCTCGTATTCTGATAATGAAGCAATTGAAGGTATAAAATTCTATTTTGTCATTTAAAATATCTATAAGCATACTTTCAGTTGCCGCAACTCAACATGAAAACAAAGAAAACCGTGAACCTCCAAACACGAAGCGCCAAATTGAAACTCCCACCCCCAAACCGCCGTCGCCAGGCCCATCGAGAAGCTCCAGCTCTCTAACATGTCTGCCCAATGGAAAGTTGCCACTCGAAAGCACGGTGGCCGAAATTGTTTGGGGCTGCGTCAAGCCCAACAAGTGCAATACCAAGAAATTCATGCTCAGAAATAGATCGCCTAAAACCCTAAGAATCCAGTGCTCAGTGTCCACTCAAGAGTTCAAAATTCGAAAGGACAACAGCGACAATTCTGATCATTTGAGCACTTGCAAGCTGGTCTTGTACGGGCACGAGTCCAGGCCTTTAGTTATTTCATTTGTGCCTACCAAAATGGGGCCTGCTCTGGATGAATTATGCTTTGCACCTTTAGATTCTAATTTGACTCAGACTAGGAAACAGTGTGTGCGTTTGTGGGGATATGGTGGATACATGAATATTGAATACTTGAATACTAGCAGGGATAGTACAGGTAATGTAATATTTTTGTGTCTATGTATGTCGAATAGAATTTGTTGAGGTACTTGATAAGGTTTTCCATTCTTAAAGACAAGATAACAAGTAGGGCAGACATTACAATAAACTTAAATGTAAACATACATATAACATAATACATAATATTAACCTTAAAAGAGAAAAAGCATTCCTGTATAATCTGGAATGGTGTTAGTTTAAATGCTTAATTTTTTTTCATTTTCAGGTAAATATTGGCTCTCTTTAGGAAAAATGGACAACCGCGTTCTGGTAGAACAATCCTTCATAGTAAAAAACACCGGAAATCTAACATCTTTCACTTACATAAAAGTAATTCCAAAAAACCTAGTAACATTTTCCAACGTGAAAATCGAACCTAACATATTTGTGCTGCTGCCGAATCAAGAAAAAACTGTCACAGTCACTTACATCCCGAATGCAAAAGATTGTCAATTCCTAAAACAAAATAGAAACGTGTTTGTGATGGATATTGGAAAACTAGAGATTGTTTCGGGGCCTGAAGTGAACAGAGCTCGTTTGAGGCGACTTTGCAGAAAGAGCATTGAAAAGGGACTTAAAGTTGATACTTTAACCAAAACCCTTTCCGAAAAGATTCCTGCCGAATCAATTACAAACGACATCTTGAAATTCAAAGAATCACCGAATGCCATACCAGATCTTCTAGAAACTTTCACCAATGGCGAAATAGTGCTGACCATCGAACAAGATCCAAATCAAACGCTTGTAGCTGAATACCCTGAAGACTCGATAATTTACCAAACACTTTGTGAATCGCAGGACGAAACAGTGTTGCAAGTAGTGCCAAAATCTTGCCGACTCGAGCCGACAGCGTTAGTGTTATTCCCTCCATCCAAATCAGAAGACCTCTTGTTTCTTATTTCGGACTCTCCAAACACTTTATACTACGAAGTCAATTCTAATCCTAAAGGTTTGCATGTAACTCCTACAGACGGCGCCCTAGCTCCTGGTGGTACCGCCGAGCTGAAAATAAAATTGTTAAAGGAGGCAAAGGAGTCGGCATTTATGATTTTGGTTTACGTTGAGAATGAAGTCTTTGAAGCCGAAGTTAAAGTGTTGCTTAACGGCGGCAGGAGTAAGGGGCATTTTTTAGAATAAAAGGCTGTATGAACTGTTTTAGGATGTAATTGTTTTGCACTGGATACTTATGTTATTGGATTAGTTTTGTTATACTTGTTTTTAGTTTTTGATTTTTTGTATGTAAGAGCTAAACTTTTGATACGGCCTCTGAGATTGTTTTTTTTTTTATTTTTTTTTTACCTACTTAGTTAATATAGTTTCAATTTTTTATTATTAATAATGGTTTTTAATTGCCTCAAATCTTCCATGTCCTTCAGTTTCGTATTAAAGTAATAAATAACCAGAAATCTTTATCATTGCTTTGTGAAATATTATAATCGCATTGAAGGTCTGTTCTCACAGGCGTATCTGACAGTTTGCAAATTGTCAAAAACAATCGCTTAGCTAAGTTACCGATTTATCTTGGAACGTCGGCATTAAAAATATGTATGGGTGATGCTTACTCACAGTTCGCAAACTATCAGAGACTTTTGTGAGAACAGACCTTATGGCTTAAAATTCTCCAATTTTCAAGACTGTTGAAGATATACTGATTAAAATGAATATTGACCGAAAGGAAAAGAACGTGGAAATTGAAGAACTTCATTGTGAACACCAAGACAAAGTATATGAGCGAGAAACTTGCTGTTACTGCCGAGCAGAAATACATCAACTATTTGGTATTATTGTTCATGAAAAATCAAATTACAACTTCCATAGAGAAGAATCAATTCCGAAGGCCCAATACAAACGAAGAAACACGATATCCAAGCAACATGTAGGTATTTACACTACACTAAGCGATACGACATGAGAAGGATACAACAACGCGGCTACAATAAGTTGCTTGTCGACATTTTTATTCAGTCGCCAGCCAAGTATTGTCGTGCTATTGTTTCTTTTTTCTGGAAATGGCCGACGAACATGATGATAATTTAAAAATTGCTATTAAAGTAAAAAGATTTCCGTATTCATACAACTTCAACTGGTCGGATTATTCAAGGAAGGATAATCACTGCTATGAACAGTCTTTTCCTTTTGGTCGTCCTGATACAAGGATGTACCCAATATTTTCGTCGTCTCCTTCTCCGATGGCAACTTAGATTCGTGTTCTGCTAATTTTGGAAAGCACTTGTACCATCTACTATGCGTCCGCCACATGCTAATTTGTAGTTAGGTACTTCTGTGAAAATATCCCTCATCCGAAATCGAAATCCAAGGCAACTGATGCAAGATGCAAGCCAACAATTAACAGAGCAACGAACAGGAACAAAAAACACCATTCGACAACAGGAATAGGAAATCCGAACAAAATCGGCGTATCATCTGCGCAGACACAATTTCATAAAAGCAAAAAGCAGAATCGCGCAGCAAGGATCCTCAGTCCAGTCGGATTCCAGACACCAACTTAACTGAGCAGGAAGGAGACTTGAAAATGCCAAATGGGATTTTGGGGAAAAGTCGTCAATAACCGAGTGTTTATCAACGCTTGGTGGAAAAGCAACATACAGCATGATCCGTGAAACAATTCAAAATAACTTCTGTGAGGTTTCTAGTTAAGTACTGCAAAGTATAGAAGTTATTTTCTCGCATGAAAGTAGCTATACTATTTTCAAATTCAAGCGGCATTAACGTAAACAACTGGGGATAATTTTCAGATCAGGTAGGCAGAACCGAACCAAGATAATGCTGTACTGGACCGGACAAAAGTAAAGAGTTCGGTTAATCCTCTGCGAGCAAAAAGATGACAAGCCCACGTGATCAGCTGTATAATTTTGAATGCAAGAGCAAAGAACATGTGCATATCTGTCATCATCAGTATCATCTTTTCTCGCGGAGGAGTAACCACAGCATACAAGAACAATCAGTAAGCTAACTCGAGTGCCAGCCTGTGTAATAGAGGAAATTTATGGTCGTGACGTCACTAGCGGCTATTTTAGGATACCAGACAGGGCCTGATTAACAATAAATTGGAATTTTTCTTTCGTATCACAGAGACGTATTGGCTTTAAATAAATTACTGTTAAAGTGCGAACAGCGAGAATTTGCCGGTGGCAAATATGCGAACTAATGCATCTGCTACATGCAATGCAGAAGCTTCAGAATCCAATCATGTCCTAATTGACATAAAAAAAATTAACCAATAGAAAGGCTGGATCACTAATTGGTGTTTGTTTACATTTATTAATGTCATTTAGTGCCACTTGGATTGGAAAATAGTATAGATATTTCATAAGTTAGGTACCATCGTCACCAAAAGTATCTGGGACACAAATAATGCATAAAAATCTCCTGGACTAATTCTACTGTCATCCATTTCAATGCATTTAAATTATAGTTTGACAAATATTTGACAATAAAATTCATATAATAGGACAAGAGCTAATGTGATGCTGTCCCAGTTACTTTTGGTGACGATGGTACTCAGGGCGACGACGTTCCGTAAGTATAAACCAAGATTCTTGGTTTTTTCCGGTTTCCGTTCCGTAATCGAACCACTCCGACATTTGTTTTTTAGGTTATAGGTGATAATTTTTTAATTTTTTTATTTTTCTTCCGCTTTCGAAGTGTATTTGTGGTGAAAATGGTACAAGAGGTCGATTTCTTATTACAAATATATTTTTAAGAGGATAAGGATAATATTCTATGACCTAGCATCCAAGACAAAGTAAAGCTGAACCGAAGCGTTCCACACATAAACCGCATTTTCAGGAATCAGACTGTCAGTACCAAGGTTCCTACACTCTTCTAGGTATGCACATGTTATCTCCATGCGTTTTTGACGTCACACTTGACAAGGCATCAGCGTCTCGTCAGTAGCGCAATATTTGCAACACAGTCTCAAAAGAAGTCACTATTTTCGAAAAATAGAATAAAAAAGAGCTAAGCACATAAAATATTCATAAACGTCATGAAAACAATAGCGGAAATCACGATTCCGTTTTGCCGATTTCGACTACCAATGGGGGCGCTGGCGGTTGTAAACAAATATGGCGGAAAACGAGTAATATTTTGATTTTCAGCATTGTATTTATATGCATTCGTATTTCTTTCGCTAATTTTCTCGTTCTCGTAGTTTTTTCGGTGGTTTTTCACTATATTTTTAAAATTTTGAACGTTGTGACTTTCTTTTGTGCATTTTGTATCCATACAACACGAAATATGGAAAATAGAGGTCTGTTTTTGAGTTTGGCCACAGTTTTTCTCCGATCCATCACCTCTTCTTGTCCCAGTACATTCAACATTTTCACGCAATCACTATTTTTTTTAGGAAAATATTGAAAATTAATAGTTCTGTCTGCACCTTTTCGGAAATGGCATTCGTATACTCAGCAGTTTGTGTTGTGCTTGGACTTGAAGGCAAATGCCATTGAATTCCTGTAATAAGCGCCTCACAGAATCACAATAAAAGCTATCCCTTTATTATTTCTCACTTTTCGACACAAAACACCAGTAATTAAAATTGGGAATGAACAGAAAACATCGAAAAAGGAAGAAAATATTCCAATACGGTATGTCAACAAACAATCTATTACTCGTTAAGTTAGTTCCAAATATTTCCGCCAGGTGCCGCATTGAATTTTGAAATCGCCAGCGCCGCCTTAAGTATCTTGATACACCAAAAGTGACTTAAGTACTTAGGAGTACTTAACTCAGATAGACTTCAAAAGTAATAGACGAAAAGCTAGCGGCCGCGGAGGTACTATGATATGATAATACCTCCGGCTGGAATTTTGTGTAGTTGAAATTATTGAAATAACTTGAAAAATAAATATCTAAGGTACCTTGAGAATATTACTGTTTACTCAATACTCAATATTAAACATTTACCTTTAGAAATCTAGACACCACCCGTCCACATTGCTAGGCACTGAATACACTTTTTTCTACAAACGTCACTAAAAGTGTCATTTTTAACAGATGCTGTCAGTGTCTAAAATGCCATTTTATGACACTGGTGTTAAAAGTGATTACTTTTAGCACTAATGCTAAAAGTAATCACTTTTAGTGCGTTTATAGAAAAAATAGTGTATGATATTCGTGCTAAAAGTGATTTTATTTTGTTCAAAGGGATGGAACACTCCGCCTTCGGCGTCGTGTCCCAAACTTCCCTTTTCACAAAATAAAATGTCACTTTAAGCACTTATATCATATTTCATTGTCGTAAAATATTGAAAAACTTGATCATTATGCCATGTAGGTAGTATACGTAGGTATAATTGACAAATGAAAAGACGCAAGCCATCAATAGTTCATATTTAATACCATATAAAAGCAAGTGTATATATAAATATATAATTTACCTAATTTTTTTTTTTTTTTTTAATTAACACACAGAAAATTCTTGAAAATCACCACTTTGAATTTCGGTTATACCTTCGTCGGGACATAGAGCAACTTCTTGTCTGAAAATATAAATTTTATAGGGTGCAACATTGACTGCTACAAACATTTCAACATGTAACCCAGATTGTTTATACCAAAAAGTTAAAAGCAGTATCATCCTATCAAATGTCCAAGTAGACCTTTAAACATTTGAAATGGAACTAACCATTTCACATGATGTTAAAATATTTTCAGTTCGAATCATCAAGACAAAATTAATAAGACTTACGCATATATTGTGTTACTATTAATACTTTGAATTGTTAATCTTTCAACATCGATAACGCGTTTGCAATTGATTAAACACAATGATATTTTGCCTTCACTCCATCCTACTCTGGAGCCTTCAATCCATCCTACTTTGGCATTTACAATTTTGCCCATTTCCGGTACAGTGGCGTAAAAAACAAAACTGTTTTCTTTTCCTGGCTTGAAGCCTCTAAAAAAAGCACAATTTTGATATCCGTTTTAAAAATAATAATTAGTGTACCTACCTGTGCTCTAACATAGATGATTTGGTCGAACGATAATTTTGGTCCATGAGAAAAAACTCAAATGATCCAAAATAATCAGGTTTTTTAGCACCTATGTGGACATTTACTCTGTATTGGAATACTGCAAAAAAAATGCTCTAAGAAAGTTCTGTCAACCACATGCACTTACTTACAGCAGTAGGGCTTTTTTGAGTTAGTTTGCAAAAAGTATGATCCGTTATTCCGTTTCGAGTAAGTCACCAATCCAAATGTTCTACAGTTTTCACCACAATCAGTACATTTTCCCTAAAATAATGTCCTCTCTAAAAAATCTTTAAAACTCTTTGGGCTACGATTTACTTGTTTAAATTCAAGATAGCTCCCACATTTGATCCCCAAAAAAGTGCAATCTTCGATTTCCAAAGATTCGATGTAGTACTTGAACGCCCTCTTATGACTACATCCTGGGATAATCTCTCCCTTGTTAAGTCCGGATCTAGTCAGAGATAGTACATCGGATTGTTTGGTTGAACAACCTGGCTGATTTTCTCCGTTGTTAATGAAAAAATCAGTGTGACCGAAAAGTGATTTTGCTCCTTGACTTTTAGCTAAAAATGGGTAGTTTTAAATTAAATCATCATCATCATAGTCACATAATGTCTTGCCAGACATGTTGTGAGCTCATAAAATGTATACTAAGTCAGAAATTGGAAGATTGCCGACACGCAGGTCGGATTATTTGTCAATTGACAATTCGGTCGCTCTTATTATGACACTGACATCTAGTAATTGTTTTGTCGCATCCATACCCAGCGTGTAGGAGAACGACCAGGACGCAGTCCTTTTGGGGCATGACCCTGGACAAAAAGTTTTTCTATATTATCAATTCTATGGATATGGCCGAAAAACGTCAAGATACGCGTTGAAACAATCGAAGATAGTCGTTTTGTATTTCCTAGTTCACTTAATAGAGCAGGCGCTACAAGTAGTTGAGTATGCAAAATATGAGGACCGGCAAAACTGGTCAAATTCCTGTTCCTGTGATCTTGAAGAATGGGAAAGTACATCTTGCCGGCAGCTTGAGTGGTCCCTAACTCTCCTGCCATTTCCCAATGCAAAGTTATATGGAAAATATCACAATTTCAAGTAATTTCACAATAATTCCTATTGATTGTACCTAAGGCTTTCTTTTCAAGCACTCAAAATAATTCTACCACTTGTTGGATATCTTTGCAATTCTGCTCCAAAATATACAGAAGTTAGAGAAGACTTCGACATGTACAGGGTCATCCAACGAAGACTGAACAGGGGCTTATTTTTGACTTTTCCTGTTCCTGTAGTTTTGAAAAAATTCAAAATAGCCAATTGGCATATTTTTTCCTGGAGAATTCAAAAATGATACCAAAAAATCATTTGAACTAAAAACTAAAGAGTTACGCCATGGATTAACTGTTTTTCAAATGAAACACCCTGTTTTTTATATAATTTCTGGAAAAGTCGCATTTTTAACGATTTGTCACAAGCTTTAAAATAATAATAATAATAATAATAATAATAATAATAATATTCAATGCACCGCTGTAGCTATGTCACCATACCTATACCTGTTGAGCAATGGACGGAAACCCAGAGGGTCGTGAGTTCAAATCCCACTAGCAACAGCAAATTTTAACATACTTACAACTTTCTATTTAAAACCTTGTCGTCTTTTTCACCACAAGAGCAAACTGAATTAGAACTAGAATAGTCGTTAAAATCACACACATAGCATACACTCCATGGAATTCCTTTATAAGTGAGAGGAGAGGGGATAGAAAAAAAATGGACCAAAAAATGAGCCGGCAACATCCGGATTCTTAATCTTTGAGCTTTTCTCAGCTACAATCCATTGATAAAATGCGGTCCTCATATTATGCATACTCAAGTCCGTCTAACTCCCGGTCTATAATATGGAATCGTTAGTTTGGTGAGCTGTATAAGGAACTCTTAACATTCTTCTCCAAGTCCACATTTCAAATGCGTCTATGCGGTGGCGATCTGCATTTTTAACAGTCTAAGTCTCAGAGCCATACAAAAAGATGGAAAAGACAAGAGACCGGACAAGCGACATTTTAGTGGCTTCCGTGATATAATTGTGACGCCATATTTTAGTTAGTCTTGTCATGGCTGACCGTGCTTGTTGAATGCGCCGACGGATTTCAACCTCGCATCAGCCACCTGAATTGTCGATCAAAGAATCGAGTTATACAAAAGTCTGGACTACCTGACAACGGCCTACTGATGTTATTTCAGAATGATTGTCATGTCCCTATCAACGATCATAACCTTGGTGTTATTGTAGTTTGTTGTTGATATTGAGACATGCTGCACTATGTTGTTCTAAGATGTTAAGGTTAACAAATCACCCCAAGCAATAAGAGTAGTATCGTTGGCAAACCTTAAGTTAGATATCTTGATTGCACCAAGAGTTACACCAACGTGCCAACCGTCCAGTACCTGTCTCATCACAAATTCGAAATAGATGTTAAACAATAATGGCGATAACATACATTCCTGAAGAATTTCTTTTCTTGTTGTGTGAGGAACTCTCATGGAGAGAAGAATTTTCCGTCATTTAAGCCACTTCGTCAAATGCCTTAAAGTACCTAGTCCACAAAGCAGATATAGATTTGAAAGTCATGCTCTCTGGCCTTTCCAATAATCTGCCTCAAGTTCAAGATCTGTTCGCGCGTACCACGTTCCTTTACGAAACTTGTCTGCTCTGGAGATATTTGCCAACCCACAAAACCCTCCAAACGAGACTGCCAAATATACAGCATAACCTTCCTTGGATGAGAGATCAATGAGAGTGGACAATAATTGTCTGGGTTTACCATACCGGAGATCCATTTTTATGCAGTGGAACAAAGATTGAAGGGCTCCATTGGCCTGGCCAGACACCAGACACCGGAGGACCAAATTTTCTGACAAAAAAAAAATGTAAAAAATGTAGACCGTCAAATTCATGCAGAGTTTCGGCAGAAAGGACATCAATGACCTCGTCTAAGCTGGTGATGATATGTCCATCGGCGTTCTCAACTGACCAAGTTTTAGGTTTAAAGTCTTGACAGGGACATTTTGTATCTTTAGGAACATCTCTTCTGGATGACCTGTGTATTAGCGTGGGCCTTATCAAAATTCCTGAAGAGATGAGTTTTTATCTTGACGGCAGAGTCTTTGGATTTCACGTGTCAATTGTCTATAGCGATCGTGCTTATTTGCACTAGAATCCAGACCTGAGATCTTAAGCTCTCTACGTGCCTCATCAATGACGAATAATAATGTATGGGTGGTAATTAAATAAAATAATGCAAATTCGAAATTTTCTAAATCGATATGATTAAAATTGAAATTTTCTTACGCGCCCCGACATCTGTATGCAATACTTCAACATAATCAGCATCTGTGGCATCCAGTTTAACTTGAGCTGGCATTCCATCGAACCTTGGACCACTTGGATCTAAACCTGAAAAGAGATGATGTTGAAATGTCTGGAACGTTCACATCATAGAATAGGGTAGTTTCAGTAGGCAATATTGATCCTAACGCGAAGTTGTTGAGATATCAGACCTTATCATTCTAATAAGTAATGTAATCATTTTTCCCTATATCCAGGCAAACAATGCTGACGAACCATAATGGTTCCTCAGGAACCGTTACGTTTTTATTTCAAAGAATGTTTTATCACATATTACTGCATAAATTTTTCCATGAATTGAAGTTTGCTTTGCCTAATGTTGGCTAGTTGTTCAGCAACAATAATGCATTTGATATTATGGAAATCCTCAAAATCAGAATGGTACTATAAGCAACCAAAACTATCCTTAACAAAAATACTCTGTCATTAAACTAAAACTGAGAATTATTAATTATATTGAAAAGTTGGAAATCGAAGTTAGGCAGCTGAGAAGTTATGTTATGAGAGAACAAGTAATGAATGAATAGTGAGATAATCCAAATTTTGTATCTCCTTGCGTGAATTTAAAATCAAGCAGATATTGCGCCGGTTTAGTTAGTTAAGACGAAGTTGTCCTTTTAGGGGCAATTCACACAGAAGGAGTGCGTGGTGGTGGTCTGAGACCGGCGTGGTGACTGTCGCATATTTTACTTTTGGACACAAAATGCGTGACGATTTACAATTTAATTTGGTAACTAAGAAAAGTGCGCTCCACGGCGGCACCACGCCAGTCCTGCGCGACCACCACGCACCCCTTCCGTATGAATTGTGCCTTTTATGTTGCTTACCTTATTGAATTTCATATGTGACAAAATACATAAGGCTTATTATAACTTTCAGGTGTTGATTGCCAATACGAAATTAAAGCCGCCTTTAGGGCTGAACTTCACACTTCACCCTCTCGCCAACAAAGAGAAAAAGCGCCACATTATCTATGACCTATAGATCCTTCGCATTCAATAGTGTCTGTTGAATATCCGCCATCCACCAGAGGATAGGCTTTCATGAAATTGCTTCCTCGGTCAGCTTTTCTATAAATTGTTAGGCTAGGAATCTAGTGTTCTAGAGCGTGCTTCAAGTGTCTTTTATTAGAATTATTGAAAACTAAAAACAACGGCCACAATATGGTCCTATCGTTTGTTTGAAAATACCAAGTTAGAATGGATGTCTTACAAATACATTACCATTACCTGATATTTTCTTCACTTTTAGTTCATGTCCGACATATCCAGCTATATGTGCCCCAACACCGTGACCAATCAAATGAACCTGCTCCAAAGTCACATTATGGCTTTCCTGAAACTCATTTGATAATATTTTATGATGACAATTATCGTTAACCAACTCTTAAAAACTTCAAGAAATGTGTAACTTCCAAAGCGACCACTCTTGCATTGGCAATTGCCTGATCGTAGGGAGGCTCACTACCTGCATGCCAGTCCACAGAAATAACGTTGCATTCTACGGTGCGGGATTTCAGCACTTTGGTTATATGCTACAAATAAAATTAGCCTAACTTTGATGTGGTAATTTGGAAAATGGAACTCTTACTTTAATCCATCCTGTATACCCATTACTAGTAAAATCATGCAGTAATATAAATAAAAACTTTCCTTGAATATAACCAGCGTTTTGCAACGCCATTCCGTCGGTCGTTAATACTTGATAATATATTTCATTCTGGAGTTAAACAAATATAGGATTATGTACTGCCATCAAACTTTGAGCTCAGCATAAAAAAGACTAACATACCTTGTTTTTGTGTGTGCTATTTCTCATTACGAGAATAAACTCTGTATTTATTATTTCACGTTCAAATGGTTTCAGATTAACGGGTCTGATTTTCTTGTCATACCATGATTCATCAACCTTAACACATCCCAACCCGTCAAAACATTTCGAAAAGAATTCTAAATAAATTGAAATTGCTTTTGCAATAGAAACTAGAAAATATTAATAATAACATGGCTCATGGGTTTACCTCCGAAATTTAAAGTGTTTGTCATTGTAGTCGTTAATCCATCTGATTCGGAATCTTTCATCGGGTCTTTTTCTTTCATATTCTCATCCAAGCTAACTTGTAAATATAAAGTTATAACTATAAATAAAAATGCGAAGTTTTTCATTCAACCTGATTCGAATTTGACATATGATAAAATATAAAATAGCATTTATCTTGTGGTTATGTCGTTATGTTTCCTAATACGTGTCTCGTATTACCTGAGTGCACAGGCAGTTGAGGGCAAATAGGTAGAAAATTGACAGTACGCATCAGAACGCATCTCAATGGTACGCATACAGTAAAAATGTCACTAACGCCCCCAGCGGCGCATACATCTATTTTCCATCATTTTTTATCTGATACTTTCCGTACGAGGAGCGAGGGGGGTGAAGCTTATGGCCTTAGAGCTTAGAGCAGATAAAGCGCTGTCCTACAGACATAGGGAGTAGAAACGCGCCATTCTGCTTATGAAACTAAAGTGAAGCCAAGTTTTTGGCCAGTGTTTGGCACCAAAATACAATACTAAAGCATTGACAGGTCACCGTTGGCATTCTAATGTAGGAAGCCACCAGCTCACATTTTTTTGGATTATCGGAATAAAATCGATGGACTTTATTTAGGTTTTCTCCCAGTTCATCTTTTTATATACAAGACACGTCTATTGTGACGTTTTCATTTGGCTGCCATAAACCGAATTTTTGCGACGAATGTATAGTTCATCCAAGGACGTACCATCGTTACCAAAAGTAACTGGGACAACATCATATTAGCTCTTGTACTATTATATGCATTTTCTTGTCAAATATTTGTCAAACTATGAATCAAACAATGAACTATAAACTACACGTACCTGGAATGGCCTGCCGATCCATAAATTTGCGGCAAATTGAGATGGAGAATGTGGGGTAAACGTCTAAAAAATAATATATTTGAGGTTAGGAATATACCAAACCTAACAGCAATGAACTGGAGAGAGAAAGGGATCCCCCACTATGTAGCTTTTTTGGACGCACTAAGCGAGATGACAAATGCCATACAAATGCCATATCGACAATCGGTGCCATTCCAGATACGTGTAGTTTATAGTTCATTGGAATCAAATGCTGAAAGGAATGACAGTAGAATTAGTCCAGGAGATTATTATGTATTATTTTTGTCCTAGATACTTTTGGTGACGATGGTACATAAAGTCCGACAAATACCATTTTAAAGTCACGTGATATTGGTGGCAAAAAACGTATGTTCCTTGATTATGTCGTTGATATCACCTACAAAAAGCTACTGGTGGTTAATTACTATTGAATTTTAGGATATGTTCCCACTAGCATTTTACAAACGCGTTTCTGAAGAAGTATTGACCAATCAGATGGGAATCTTAATAGTTGCATTGTTGCGAGACTCACTTTTGTCGCGGCTGCTGTCCGTTGTAACACATTCTGAACTTGAATTGGGTACCCGTTTTCTATTTACTTCTTTTCGAGTTGGAAATAGTATATTAAAATACAAGTTGCAGAAGGCCACATATTCCCGCACGAATTCGAAATTTGGCCACGAGCGACGAAGGAGCGAGTGGACGAACGAATGAGTGCGAGAATAGCCTTCTGCAACGTGTGTTTTATACTATTTTCTCGATTTTGGATTTTATTTTCAATTTTTTTTAAAATTTTTGTGAACGCTGTTAGTTGGGGATTTTTTATTTTCAAAATATGTCAGTTGGTGACACTTACTTACCAACCACCTGACAGGTTGATTCTATCATTTTAGAAGGTTTGACAATTTTGAAGGTACCAATAGGGATACTTTGAAAACTAATGGCGTTTCCGATTGGTAGATTCAGTGCGCACTGAGTGTATTTGCATCCTTTTAATCGATCTGTAGAAGAAAAAGACAGAAATAGAAAAAATTGCACTAGTTCCGCACTAGATCTACCAATCGGAAACGCCATATATGTCGATTTTGCGTGCGGGAATAATGACATTCTCACATCAAAATCGAGAAAAGGTTAATATAGTCAAAATTATTAGCTGTGTTTGTTCGTTGTATCATTTTCGAAAATAACTTTGACAAACTAATTGATGACAGTGACGGATTCTATTTCAGGTAAAAATATTATCAACAATAATTAGACACCAATTTTTTTTTCAATTTTACCATCACCGCTGTTTAAGATGTATTCAACAAGAATAGAGAAAAATCACGTGACTTTAAAATGGTATTTGTTGGACTTTACCATAGTTCGTCTTGTGACGTCATCAGTTTGAACGCTGGTTAGAAGCTGTGTCCATGCTTCCAGCGAACTATGTTCAATATGACGCGATAGCGTTTATGTTCATGAAATCATGGAAGAAGTTCGTCGCGAAAATTCGATTCTAGTAAAAAAAAAAAAAAACGGATTTCTATTCACAGGCTGATAGAAAAAGATCCTGTGAGGATTTGATAATCTTATTATTAAACAACGAGAAACGTACTCTTGCAGCGAGAAATCTTCCATTGATGCTACCTTCGATTGTGCTACTCTCCGAATCCAATATTTTGAAGCCGAAATGTTTGAAAAACGAGCAGCAAATTTCCTCCTCTACAGAAGCAACACAACATCTGACAACATCAACACGATATCCGAGCAACATGTCGCTCGAGTGTTGCCGACGTGTGTCGGTATCTAGACGAGATGTATGGTATTTTTTTCGGTGTACTTTTCTAAAATATTTTTGGAGGTATTTGTGCAGTGTAAACTGTAAACCAAACCGCTATGTTTACTTCGTAGGTTCGGTGAACAAAGTATAGATACTTCTTTCACAGTTCCTACGTGATAGGCTTTTTCCACGTGCCGGGAATATGGAAAATTATGATGTTTTTTGATGCAGATACATGAATGCAACCGAGGGACTGAATACACCCTCTCATTGGAAAGCCGATATTCATGTAGGGGTGTTCATTTGTACTGCTTTTCTTGCTTCAAGCAGATCTCAGCAGCAGATCAGCGTTCCCTTGTCCCATATAAAAGCTCCTAAATAGCAGCTCCGAGCAGATCTTTCTGATTTTTCAAGCAGGTATTGAAGAGCAAGTACAAATGAACAGCCTAAATGCACTTGTTGCCACATTAGGAAATTATTAATTCCCGTTCAACGGAATGTTAGCCTGGATGCCACATTTTCTCCTATTACTTAGCACATATCGAATATTTGTATATACTTTGGCATTTTATGTAATAATGTAAAGGCTCATCCTCAATCAATTTAGTTGCGAAGTGGCACTTCGGCACGCAAGCTAGGAAAATGTTGATACAGATACAGAATTTTTAATACCTATTCAGAAGTACCAGTCGTTCTAGTGACTTAACGTATGTCGGTTCTTGAACACACAAATAAAATTAGGTTAGGAATTTCCTATTTGTACAGGGTGGTCCAAATTGGACACTTTCTTATGGAAACACCCTTTATTTTTAGAGATAGAAAAAAATGGATCCCCTACTCTATGAGGATCAAATTTCATGAAATCTTGATTGGTGCAAACCGCATTTTGATATCTTCAACCGCTTAGCCGCTAGAGGGCGATTCTCGATTTTGAGCAATACTATAAAGCTTCCATAACTTTTTTGTTTATGAAAATAATTCATTTCCGTAAAGATCTTTTGGAAGCTCTTTTTCGAGTAGAATTTAGTGACGTTCTCAGTTTTTTTCTGTCTGGCTTCGATTTAGAGATATTGACCAAAATCCGATTTTTTTCAATAGGACACTCTATATATTAATAGTTCATTAGAAAGCTATGCTTTCGCTGATTTCAATTTTCAATTTCAATCATGTCTATTTGAAGAGCAATTTTAAAATAAATGTCACTTCATCGTTGTCACTTTTTCCTTTTTACAAGATGTTGTTACCAAATTTCAGATTTGACGTTTCGTCTTTGGGCGGCCATCATCAACTTTTTTTTTCAAATACGGACCTGGATTTTTTATTCCAGATTTTGAGAGCTTTTGATATCCCAAAAACCTATGACATATCGCATTTATTCGGGAAATTTATATTATTGGCACTTTCGATAAGAACTAAATGTGTTAGAGAGAGACAGAGAAAAGAATTTTATTAGGAAATTACCGAGGAAATTGCTAAAAAGTAAAAACCAACTTTTTTTCGAATAAATGCGATACGTCATAGGTTTTGGGACATCAGAAGCTCTTAAGGCCGCGTTAATGGCCGCCATGTTTAAATTTAGTTTTTGAAAATGACGACTGTGTCACTCTACACATACGGTTCAATATTTTATTTTTTGTCCAAAACAAAATCTGTTTGTCGGTGAAACACTTAGTGACAGAGAAAGACAAATATACAATTATGATGCTCCCAATGTAGCTTTTTCGCCGTGGCGCCATCTACTTGAAATTGCTTGAACTGTTTTCATCTTCAAAATTCGTTTTAAGGTCATCTCAAAAAATCCGCAATAATTTCCAAAATCCTTTGTTATAAACATTATTTGATATGTTATCTACAATCTCTACAATTGGCTTTTGTTAGTTTTTCGTAATTATCAATAAAATATGCTTTTCACGGATCCAAGCTTGATAAACATGCAAACCACCAACACATTTAATTGTTTTGGTGGTTGCGAACATGATTTTTGAATTTAAAAAAAAGGCTGAATATCGAAAAACCAAAATAAGGAATAGGGTACTTGCATGGAAAATTAAATTGATTATTGTTTATTGCAAACTGTAGGAAATCGAAAAAAAATCGTTACTTTTTTTTCATTTCGCCCAAATATGATTATTTCGGTAGTTATACAAATATTAAGTTTTGTATATATAGATATACTGAGCATGTGCGACGTCATAAAGTATTATACCTGATGACGTCATAGGCATATTTCATAGCGTTGTATCTCCGTCAATTTTTGACTAAGAAGAAAAAGAAAAAACACGTGTTGACTTATTTTTCATGGACTATCGAAATCAGCAAGAAAAAAATTTGATGCAAGGGGCCTATTGTAGATAATCGATCAAATATTTTTTTTGCCAAATTTGAGTCAATTCTGATGTGCCGTTTTTTTAAAGACCTTAAAACAAGTTTCGAAAAATTAACCAATCACAGTTTAAACATGGCGGCCATTAACGCGGCCTTAAAATCTGAAATAAAAAATCCAGGTTCGTATCTGAAAAAATAAAGTTGATGATGGCCGCCCAAAGTCGAATCTGAAATTTGGTATTAACATCTTGTCACATCAAAGAGACCTTTCTCAGTTTCCTTACAGAGATAAAGTCATTTTCCATCACATTGTTTCTTATGACAAAAACCGAAATAATTTTTTTTCTCGAAAACTGTTAGAGATAAACCTATCGAACTTTATATCATTGAAATCAGCGAAAGCATAGCTTTCTAATGAACTATTAATATACGGGAAGTTTTATTGAAAAAAATCGGATTTTGGTCAATATCTCGAAATTGAAGTCAGACAGAAAAAAGCTGAGAACGTCACTGAATTCTACTTTTAAAAGTGCTTCCAAAATGAATTATTTTCATAAACAAAAAAGTTATGGAGGCTTTATAGTATTGCTCAAAATCGAGAATCGCCCTCTAGCGGCTAAACGGTTGAAGATATCAAAATGCGGTTTGCACCAATCAAGATTTCATGAAATTTGAGCCTCAGAGTGGGGGGTCCATTATTTTCTTTCTCTAAAAATAAAGGGTGTTTCCATAGGAAAGTGTTCAATTTGGCCCACCCTGTACAATGAAATTGAGGTATTAGAAACTGTGGTATTAGCAATTGACGTTCGTTTTTCTTGGTAATTTTAATTTTTTGTTTCATCTGATTCGTAATTGATAAATAAGGATTAAAAATACTATATGTATGTATATATTGTCGACTACTTAAGTAAATTCCACTCTGTACGTACATCAATTTCATTGAAGTGTGTCGATGAGTCAGCATTAATTTGGTATACCTAAATACCGCGCCGAGATCCATTACCGGCAGACTAAAGCTAGTGCAAAATACCTCAATTGAGAAATGCCCTTCTGGACCTGTCCTAAACCCAGCTTCAGTATTCAGTCACGCCAAGTGTACAGAGTGTACATAATATAGAGTGGCCTAAGTAATACTTCCTTCCGTAGAAGAGACGTCATTCCTAGGGTTATGTTTTTCTATACATTCAATAGATATCTGATTGTACCTATACCAAGCGAGTTTCTCTCTACCTGAACCCCACCTACGCCTCCAGGTCACGCTCCTGTGGTGACGTCCCAGGACGAAACGTATAGGGGTTGTGACAATATTATTCTAAACTATGGCACAGATCACTATGATATACTTATTGTCAACTAGCTGCTTAGAAAAGGAGGACCCGGTAATCAACCTTATTAATTTAATTGCCGATTCGGTCGGATGTTTATTGCAATTCAGCAATAAATTGATATAAATTGCGCTGCCAGCCGCAGCAAAGGCAGATTTAAACCAGTGCAAGTACCTCTCGTTGGAAAAGCCCCTCTGGAATTAAGTCTCCCCAGTGCAAGTACCTCTCGTTGGGAAAGCCCCTCTGGGTATCTTCAGCCTTATCGTTATCCAGTGCAATTACCTCTCGTTGGGAACGCCCCTCTGGACAAGGCATAAGGGTGACGATAAACTAATCTACAGTCTCCCAAGCAGCGTTGACGTGTGGCTCCCTATAAGGACCCCAGTGTTCGAAGGGTCATGCATCTTATAGGATTAGCGTACATGTAAGGGTATATTTGGGAAAATATATATCTATATTTTTATATAACCTGAGCGAATTTCTCTCCATCAACCCCCAAAGCTACAAACCCCCCATGTCACCCCCGTAAAGCGGGCAGTTGTGACAATATATTTTTTTGTTCTTTTTTCAAGATTTTTTTCAATGCTCATAAAAATAAAAACATATCAGGTTTGTTCTCAGAAATCACAAACCACTCAGAGTATTTTTGATTGGTGCAAATCGCCAACCAGTTTTCTGACTATTTTCAACCAATAAAATTTGCTTTGACTGGTTTGTGATTTCTGTGAGAACAGACCTATCATCTTCATTTCTAATGGTTTCTAGAGATACAGATTTTAAGAAAGATTTAGCAACATGGAGACATCTGTGAAATAACTAGTTTTTTTAGTACATTTAACAGATGTCTTTGTCTAATTGTTAATAAAAGACAAGGATACAACGTATCCCGACGTAATTTGAAGGCATCCCTGATTTAATGGAATACAGTCACAGCAGATGCTGAAAGTTTCGATTCAACGAATCCACATAAGCTAAATAAAGACGAGATATCGAAGGATACTGACAAATTCGGCATCCTCGCGATTTTGGCACTTTGACGTCACAGTCTTAGTCCGCGTTTTCGCAGCAGCTTAAAAGTTAGATTTTCAAATCATTTTATAAGGTAGGTAGGAGGCCGTGCAAATAAAAAAAAAACACTAGAAAATGACGTTTTCACGTTAATCACCGTTAACATATAAAAAAATAACAGATCTGTTCGCAGTAAAATCAAAATCCAGTCAGAGTCAGAACGATTTTCATTGGCTGAAAAGTTAGAAAACTGATTGTGAACGATTTGCACCAATCAAAAACGATCTGACATTTTTGCAATTTCTTTGCGAACAGACCAAATTGTTAACTTTAGACGAAAAAAGAAATAGTAATAATAGTGAAGAACACCCTATCGTCAACGTCAACTGCCTATAAGTTTCAACAAACGTCATCCTGAAAGAAATATTCAACACTCAAAACTGTAAACAGAAATCCGAATCATACCAATTAAGTGAGTGAATAAACTGGATGAATGTAAAACACCTACGAAAAAAAGACCTTGCAGATGGCGCTTCAGGAAAAATATAAGCTTTGTTCCAACACACATAGGAGTCACTATTCTGCGCATAAGCTGAAATTTGTGCTTAGAATCTGACATTACCGAGTGGTTTCGAAACTGATCATAGGACAGACCCTAAATTAAAATAAAGATGGCAATTGATCAACTGTGATTTTTCCAGCCACCTACGAAAAGAGGCTTTTGAAACCAAAACAATATGTCCGCGATAGTAGGGCATGAGCAAATATTGTCGAGATTTTGAGTGCTATTAGTAGATATCGAACAAATCCAGTACCGTTACCTCGAACAACAAACTGCCAATTACGGATTTTAGCAGCTTTTATTATTATTTCATAGAAACAGACGCCGGTCTGCAAAATAATAGCCACGGGAGAGACTTAAATTAAGTAGGCCGCGACCGTCACTGCCGCCTTTGCATTTTAAAACCGCTTCGGAAACGTTGCCAGCTTGAACAATTCCTTGCCTGCATCGATTCAGATTATTCAACGAATTCAGACGAAATTGTTTGTTTTCTGTTAAATCGGGCAACGTTGAAACGTAAGCATCTAGCAGCAGGATCAGTCTCTGCTAGTCTTCTTCACCTGCGAAGTTACGGACTTCTGCTAGAGCGCAGAGGAGGCGGAACAAGAGATTTCCGTAAGTTTCCGTGTTTTTTTTTCTTATCCGCAGGGGTAAATATCGTGCGTGTTTTGGCCGGTATTTTTTAGTTTTAGTTTTCCTGCTGATGATGTGAATGTGATTTAATAATTGTTAGGTAAGTTTAGATTTTGTAAAAGGAACAATGAAGAAAAAATCTTTTTTCCTAGAAAAAAAATCTGAATTATTTATTCTTCTTACCGACTGCGTATAGCTTAAATTAAGTAGATATAGCTATTCTCAATCTACATGTATGCTTAATTTAAGCAAAAAATCACATAAACCCAATTTTTGTTTAAGAACTACAGAATTTGAGAAAATAAATTGGTGCACTTGCAACGTAATATAATCGGTCCGATTAGCTTAATGGTGAATGAATATTTTGTGAAAGTCCTCCAAGTTTCCAAATAAGGCCGTTTCTGGTAACAATTATCGTAATTTAGCCATACGGGCTGTTATTCATATATGATATATGAGATCGTTTATGTACGAGTCGATCGAAAAATAAAAATCGTTTTCTGGAAAATTATACAATTGCGATATAATTTACCTACTGAAACGAAAAAATAATTTCAGTTTCTAATGGTAAAATAATAATTCAGGTATTTAGTTATTTTAACACCTCTGCACTTAGTCGTGTTGTCGCCTTGGGCACCGACTCATTTACTATTTAGAAAGGATAATTTTATGTTTCCTATATTTATAGACACGCAATAAATTCATTGAAAATGGCTTCGAACATCCAAGACGATTTACATTACCACATCATAATTCTTCTTCTTTTTTTCTTAAAATGTGTACGAATTTGAAATGTCATCATAAATCAATCGAGGATAACGCAATCGGATGGCGATGATGATGGCGTCGTTCCCATTTTTTTTTTCTTCTTTTCAATAAAATAACTGACCATATACACCGATGCATTTCCATTTAAGGAATTTCAATGTCAGCTTTACCAAGTATGCACGCGTTCTGCTTATACCTATTCGTTTTTACTTTCAGTTATCTTTTGAATGTTTTTCAGTCTCGCCAAGTACAAAGTAAATTCACTCATTTCCAAGGGTATGATTTTATTTTTTATTCGAATTTAGTGAATTCCGGTACCAAGGCCCATTGTTTTTTTGTTTTGTTTGTGGATTTACATACAAGTGAGAGAGGAATGTGAAGTTAACTAATGCCCCACAGTGAGTGCTGAGAAAAAAATCCTAGCAAATGGCCACTGGTTATCGGTTGACAAATGAACAATGGCTTGAACGTCATTTGTCAACCGATAAAATGACAAATGACGTTTAATATGTCAATCAAAACCGGTGGAAGCATTCTAGAATCAACATCAGTGTGAATGCTAAAGATATTTACGTTATAAGTCCGGAAATAAACTTTTACATTTTGAATGAGATGTTTAAGGAATAAGGAATTTCGAAACGAATTATTGTAAAAGTTTTCTCGCGGACGAATCACGTACAATATTTTTCCTACATCTGCCTCTGAAAATTGAGTTTTTCACATGCTAGGCAACCTCTGAAAATAGAGTTACACGCTCCTCAGCGTGCGAAAAAGTTTTTCACACGCTGCTTATTAGTTTTCTATTTATTTTGGTCCTATCATCCTGACGACATGACATAAATTGCGATTCTCACCAATTTCTGATGTTGATGATTTGTTTTGTAACTAATAAAAATTACATATTTGGTTGTTTTATTTTGCAGTTGTAGGAAAAGCATTGATTGCGTTCTCCAACACTCAACATGTTGAGTAATTAGTCAGCGGCTTTGTTCCAACAAGTGGAATTCACAAGGTAGAACAGTTTTGATTGGCCTAGAGTTGATTTTCATCTGTTTTCAACAAAGCAAAGTTTTTAGTGATAATAAGCACTGGGATTAGTGCACAGAACACATATCCTCACGGATAGAAAAAAAGCTTAATGGAGGGCGGGGCCTAAAAAAAAGCTTCGGATCGCATCCGCTTGGGGACGCTGGAGTGAAACAGAACTACAGGTGCGGAATGGACGCCACCACTCACCAGAAAATATGTCACAGTTTACTTTGGCAGTTTACCTGTTACCTATGTTTTAAAAAAATATGTCAAAATAGTTCTGAATGAGAATTCGTCTTGGTGTTGGTGTGCATTTTAAATCCAGATAAATGTTTCCTGAATTCAAAAAAAAAAATCAGATTTTACACAAAACACAAGAAGTTTGGCCTTTTTTGCTCTACTCCGTCAATCCGTCAATGTTCATTAATGAGGAAAAAGGTTTGTTTGGACTTCAGTTCAAAATCAGTTCTTAATTGGACTGCGCTTGTGCATTTGGTCATATCAAACCTATATAAAGAAATGCGAAAGCGTAGTTCAATTCTGAAATGAAGTCCGAACAAATTAATATTGAAAATTGACATTGGAAGAACTATTCACAGGAACTATTTTGAAAGCTGATTTGATTACAGAAACCTTCATTATAAATAGTTCGGATCGCATCCACCGCGCCGTGACGGCGCATTGTTCCCCAAAACTTTATTAGGCAGTTTGCCTTCTTTCCGTGAGGATATTATAATAGGTGGGTTCGGCTTGCTCACTCCGTGCACTCCGAGTGACTCCATTCGCACTCCAGCCGTTCGGGTTAAGATTCGGGTACTGCTTTTTACCGTATTAGGGGTGACTCCATTAGCTCTGTTCACTCCACTCCAACTCCGCGCTGAATAGACGAACCCAGCTTATGTATTCTGTGGATTAGTGCGAAAAGAGTGCGTCATAATATTGACAATCATATTTAAATAAATATACGCCACTGCCAAACCGGAAATACTAGTCGGCCATATGCAACCTCTACATATTTTGGTCGCGCAGATTCGAAGTTATGCTCCTTCCTGTAGTTTTATATTCACCCAACATCTATACAAACACCGAATAAATTAACTTTGACACATTGTCAGATTTGTTCTCCATTTATTTAGTCTATATGCAAGAATCTACGAACTTCTTTCTCAACAAATTTAAACGGATTTTCTATATTAGCTTCGCGTCGTACGTATAACTGTGCTGGCATGCGGAAAAGTACTACTTTGTGCACTTGTTAGGAAAATAACTATTTCACTCTCGCTCGACAACAAACTGTCTCGCCATGCGAAAAAAGTCGTTTTAAAAACTTGTTGTTTAGATAACTATTATTTTATACTTACTGTTTTGTCGTTTATGTTTCGACATAAATAATGCATTTTCAATTTGCAAAGTACCAAGTACCTGTTTACTGGTGGAAACATTGTGGTAGGTATTCAGGTTAGTATACCACAATGTTTGAATTTGACATTTCGATCCGAAAATTTGACCGAAGTAGTACTGTAAAGGTCTACTTTCCGGACTAAAACTAAGTACTTATGTAAAGGTGTGTTTTACACAGTTTTTACATTACAAGTATGAAATAAAAAAAGTAGGTATAGTGCGCACCGATTACGTGAGTTACTTTTCAACACCTGTATATTTGGTATAAATTCTTTCAATTATTGTACGAACTAGATTTAGGTATTCCAAGGGTGTCACTAGTATATGTGGATTCAAAATTTAAAAAAAGACCTCTCGTCAGAAACGAAATAACTTCATTTCATGGGTGCGACTTTTGATTCCAATTTGGCTCATTTTGGAGGTATTGACATAATTATATTTCAAAAAAAAAAAAGAACAATCTGGAGTATGACATAAGTGACAGGACATCAGGACATCAAGAGCAGGGATACAGGCTGAGTTCGGCTTTACACTCTGTAAACTCTGAGCGAGCTGGAAACGATGAGATCCGGTTCGTTTTAGCTCTCAGAGTGTTCTCTTTTGCGTTGGGCTTATGACCGCGTATGACGTCACGATACCCATGCTCATACCGTTCCGCTACCTGGAGTGCAAAGCCGAACTCAGCCTTAATTGCATTCAATGACCGATACCTACCCATAGTTGAAATATGAAATATACAATCAGCAACAGCATATACCGGGTGGGGCACGAAAAACTTTCCACCCAGGTTTTCTCAGGTGTTAGGTGTTTAATCAAAAATCGCTCAGAAACGTCAATTTTTGTTTTTTGCGGGACACATTTTATTCGTATTTTCACCCCCTACCCGTGAACCCCTAAGTGGGAGTAAAAGGTACCCTCAAAATTCCAAATGGAAAGAGTGGTCGAGTGATATGTCATTTGGTAGCTATTTTCATTGAGATTATATCCCCGAAGTTTTAAGTTGCTACTATTAACCCTGCCGAAATGGCGGCATGTCAAAGTTAGGATAAAGGCTTTTTTTCGATTATACAACTCACTGGACATTATATGACACGAGAGGCTTAAAAAGTGATAAGCCTTTTGGGATTATCGCGCTTGGTGGCAATATTGTTCATTTGCTATTAATAATAATAAAAATTAATAAAGTATTAAAGTTTAGTTCGTTGTATAACCTTTTGAATACCACTCGAAGTTTCAGGATTACCTAATATTTTTACCTGACACTCAACGCGTTACCAGCAACACCACTCCTCCTTCGGAATCGTGGTGTTACTGCGTAACGCGTTTCGTGACAGGTAAAAGTATTATCCGGTAATCCTGAAACCTCTTGTGGTATTACATTCGATAATCTAAACTGTATAGTTTTTACCTGTCACACCTATGCGTAGGTAACAGCGTTAAAAACCACGCAGCATTTTTCAATTGATTTTTCCTAACTTTGATAAGCCGCCATTTCGACAGGGTAAATAGTAGCAACTTGAAACTTCGGGGATATAATCTTAATGAAAATAGCTATCAAATGACGTATCACTCGACCCCCCTTTTCATTTAAAATTTTGTGGGTACCTATCACCCCCACTTAGGGGTTCACAGGTAGGGGGTGAAAATACCAACAAAATGTGTCCCCCAAAAAACAAAAATTGACGTGTCTGAGCGATTTTTGATTAAACACCTAACACCTGAGAAAACCTGGGTGGAAAGTTTTTCGTGCCCCACCCGGTATGTTTATGTATGAACAGCTCTTCTCGGAATTTTTTGTACAGAGTACAGGGATAGAACTACTCTTTTTTATTGCAAAGTGGTTGTTTTTAGTAGTTGGCGCTACAATTATTTTTCTAAAACAGAAGATTGTAGTAGGCCTAA